TGTACACAATGCTCCGTAGTCTGATTCAGTTGTACCAAGGCATCTTTTTCTTCTGCTGCCCTCAGATCTAAGGTTATCATTGCTGTTTCAGCCCTCTCTTTTAAGTGGTCCTGCTTTCAGTTTTGAAAAATCACATGCTTTCACTCAGCTCTTGAATTAGGTCTCAGAAGCTGCTGCTGCTTCTGTAACTGGGCACCAGAGCCTTTACAATTCTAACCTAAAGCTCATCAAAAGACTTGTTTTGAATTGGTGTTAGTTTTGTCATTCTGACCTTGTTTGTGTGAATCATCGTGAGTCAGTGTCTTTTTAAAGGCTGGGAATGTCCAGAAAAGAGGTTATTTCCAGCAGCCAGAGGAACAATCTGAAGTTTCAGGGCTTTATTTTAGACTTTGGTGCAGCTTTGCTCTGACAACCACAGTGTCGTGGGGCTTTGAAGGGTGTCTCAAATCATAGTCACAAGCAAGGCACTGACCTCCCTAACTGAGATTTGCAAAGACTCTTGAATGGGTGTTTGTGGAATCTATTTCCCAAGTGGTTCTGTAACTCCTGGGGAATGCTGTGCACTTTGTCTCATTGCAGCAGTCATAAGGGCTTTTCGGGACCTGGTTTGGCTGTGTCCCCAGTGCACGGATGCAGTGTGTCAGGCACTGCCTGGCTGTGAGGACACCATCCAGGACAGTGAGGTAAGGTGGCTTTGTGCCCTGGGCTGGGTAGACAATGACTCTTCGTCCTCTGGGCTCGAGATTGGTGGGCAAAGATCAGAAACCTTCAGAAGATGTGTTCTCAAGTCTGTTTGTTTCAGGTCAACTCTGTCTTTCTGGTGCACAGCACCTATTTGCTGGGGTTTTTCTGTGTGGTTCCTTCAGGGCAAGCAAGCGTTGATCTGGCTCCTGGGCACCCACGGTGAGAAAGTACCAAATGCTCCCTATGTTTTAGAGGACTTTGTGGAGAATGTGAAATCAGAGATGTTTCCAGCGGTGAAGATGGAGCTTCTGACAGCACTGGTGCGCCTCTTCCTGTCCCGTCCTGCTGAGTGTCAGGACACGCTAGGGAGGCTGCTCTACTTCTGCATAGGTGGGTTCCCTTCATTCTCTTTCCCCGAAGCTGTAGTACAGGCTTTCTGGGACCTGGTTTTGCTGTGTTCCCAGTGCATGGATGCCGTGTGTCAGTGTCCTAGTTGCGAGGAAACCATCGTGGGTGGCAAGGGAAAGTGGCTTTATGCCTTAGGCTTCTACTTGGCCCCTAGGTGTCTGGTTGATGAGTGCAGCAGGCTTACACTGTATCCCTGAGAGTCCATTTTTAATGATGAAAGGTTAGTACTTCAAGGAAATCTGGATGATAGAATTCTCCATAAAGTATGTCTCTCTGATTCCCAGAGGAGGAGACGGATATGGCCGTACGAGACCGTGGATTGTTCTACTATCGCCTTTTGCAGTCTGGTGTGGAGCAAGTGAAACGGGTCCTGTGCAGCCCCAAGTCTGATCCCTCCCTGGGCCTTCTGGAAGATAAAACTGAGCAACCCGTGAATGCGTGGGCTTCAGAGTTTAATACTCTTGCACCGGTTTATGGCAGAGAACGCTGGGCACTTGTCACTGCTCACCAGCCAGCAGAACCCTCTTACACTTGTTCTCTTCGTGTTGACTCCAGCAACAGAGACACAGGTAACTCACTCCATCTGGGAGCTGGTTTCCACTAGTAGATGTTCTAGTGTGGGTTTAATACCTGGAAGAAGATCACAGTGCTTTGAGAATGCTGACTTAGTGTTCTGACTATCCCATGCAATGTGTGGCTGGTCACCACTTTACTGGGCCAGAGGATGCTGCTGGAGGCAGTTGCTGTGATCCCAGCCACCTTGGTGGCTGCATAAGATGTTCTTTGTTAAACTGGGAGCTGCACCTTGGATGCTGCATCTCACATATTTATGGTTTCATTTCAGAGTCACTGATTTCTGAAGAGGATAAAGAAGTCCTCAAGGTCCATCCTGACACATGCAGCCTGACCTTAGTTCCTGATGTTCACCTGACTGCAGAACAGTTTGAGAAGACCTGGCTGAGCTTGGATACAAACTGGCACCTTTCTCTGCCCTGGTGTGGGGCAGTTCATCCAGATACCATACAGACAGCTCTTCACGTTGTCCACATCCAGACTATTGCTATGAGCAAAGCTGGTGTCCAGCCATGGAAAGCTTATCTCAGTGCTCAGGATGACACAGGTTGCCTCTTCCTAACAGAGCTCTTGCTCGAGGCAGCAGATTCGGAGATGCAGGTTTCAGTGAAGCAGAGTGAGGCAAAGCCAGAGGCAATGCAGGCCTTTATTTCGGCATTAAAGACAGTCATGGGGACAGTTGCTGGGCTGGAGTCCTGACTGGTCCCTGCTCCTAGTAAGATGCTTGCTCAGGGCATGGGAAAAGTTTATTTCTCTGCCTTTATTTGCCATACTTGATGCTGGTTTTGCACTTTAAAGCTGTGAGAGTGTTTGCTGCCCTTTCCTGGGCTTGGACAGCACGTGTGGTGAGGGGGTCACTGCAGTGGAGCAGGGGGAAGGGTCTGTCCTCCCTCTGGGGTGGGGAAGGGACAAGGTGATGCATTTGTGAGCCTGCTGCTTCTGGTCTGAGTCACAGAAGTGGTGTCTGCGGTGCTTGTCACAAGGCACTGAGGTGGCTGACGGAGCCAGAGACGAGCAAGATTCAGGGATGTGTTTTGGAGAGTTTTTTTCTTGAGAATCGTAAATGATTCAAGAAAAGAGTTCTGAGACTCCAGGATGCAGCCGCTTGTCTCGCATTAAGAGGAACAGTGCAGTGAAGAAAGAAGTATTTAGTTCTTGGCTCCCTTTCCAAGGGATTTCAATAGTAGCTTCCCTACCAGTGACTCTTGTTCTGCTGTGTCAGAGATGGGTGGACAAGGTACATTGGCCTCAAGAAATGTTACCTATTTCTTTTTCAAGAGAAAGAAGTGTATTTTCTCATTGGAATGTGTTGCTGGGGTCACGAATCACCCTATCTGAAGTCCCCCCCTCAGCTCCCTGTGGCCAGGGTGACTGTGAGAAAACACAGAGTGTGCAGGTCCTGTGTGATGTGTTCATGTGAGTGTTGCAACCTACATCCCTTTGGCCACGTTACTGAGCTGTTGGTCCTCACACTGACACAAATAATGGAAGAATTGCTCTTTAGAGAATTAACTTATGGAATATTACCTTTTGGTTGGAGGTACTTCTGTCCAGTACTGTCATCCTGTCCCCACAGTGGTGTACATGAGACATTGCAGTGCTACATGTCTGAATTCTGCCAGTTTTTAAAGTCACAGTCTGACTTTGTTTTGAAGAGCATCACTCCGTCTGCTCTGCTGAGAGCTGGCCGTCGCACAGTGTCAGGGAGAGTGTATGTGTCCCAGCCTCGTTTGACACAGTGGCAAAACCCTGAAGAAGGCTTAAAGCTGAGGTGCATCGGTTGCTATAACAGGGCTTTATGGTACTCTGTAAGGAGTGGCTTTGTTAACCCTATTCTGTAAGATTTCTTGTCACTTTTAATGACTGCCCATGGCAGGGGAGGGTGGAACAAGATGATCTTTAAGGTCCCTTTGAACCAAACCCCATTTTGTGATTCTGTGACTGTTGTACCTTTAAACTGCAATTTGCATTCCCATGCACTGAAACGCTGCTGTCACTGTTAAACAACAGGCTGTAGATTCAATTTCTCATTGTCCTAATAAAAAACGTGACTCATTCCTGGCTTGTGCTGCTGCTGTCCTGAGCATGGTGACTGCCCCAGCACCCAGGGCTGCAGGCGCCTGAAGGAGAGGAACTGGCTGAGGGATGGGGGTTGGATCAGGAAGTGATTCCTCCAGATCAAGTTACCAACCACTTCATGTTGAAAGATCCTGCTTTCAGTTCCTTATGAATTTGTCAAAGGTGGAAATGGTTTTGCTGAAACTTCCAGTGTTGGGTGGCTCCTTTTGGTAGAACCTGGTTTTGGTAATATTCAGCAAACACAAGTGATACTCTGCTGTTTCAACTCAGGATGCTCTAAGGGGAGCATGCTTTAATTGAGGTGCTTCCCCCACCTTAAGTAGTTTAGCTGAGAAGCTGAGGGAGTGCAGGTGTAATGTTGCCATCCGATTGATGCTGCCCTCACTGAGTCAGGAAAGAGGTGAGATGTTTTCCCACTGCTCTGACCTTCCTTCCTTGCTTCCAGCAGCATGGGAGGAAGGAACTGCTGGAACCCAGAGGGGTAAAAAAAAAGGGATGCTCTTGGAGAAAATGGTAGCAGGGATGAGCTGAGATTTCAGCATGAAGCCACTGGGGTGAGAGGAAAGAGACCTGGACAAACTCAGGCTCATCTGGTCCAACATTTCCAGGCAAAGCATGACCTAGACTTGATGTCCCAGCACCCTGTCCAGCCAAAGTTTAACAGTGTCCAATGTTGGGGAATCCACCACTTCCTTGGGGAGATTATTCCAATGGCTGGTTGTTCTCATTGGGGAAAACTTTCCTCTTGAGTCCAGTCAGAATCACCCCAGGAGTAACTCGTGCACATCACCCCTTGTCTTTTCCATGGGACTCCTTGTCAAAAGGGAGTCTCTGTTGCCTTTGTAGCCACCCTTTAAATACTGGCACATGGTGACAAGGTCTCCCCTGAGCCTTCCCCAGACTGAAAAGATCCAGCTCTCAGCCTTTCCTCCCACAGCTTCCCAGACCTTGGCTCATCTTTGTGGCCCTTGTCTGGACCCTCTTGAACCTGTCCACATCTTTTTTTTGTATAGCAGTTGTGCAGCTCAAGTGAGTAATGTGCAAGCCAGGTTCAGGTGCTCAGCATCTCCCTGATGTATTCTTCCACTATTCTGCAGTTCATGTGGAAAGCAGGGTAATTTGTAAGTGCAAAGGGGAGCTGTGGATTTTGCATGCTGGTTTGGGGACTCTTCTTGTTGCAGCATGTTCTAAGTCTGAAGCCTGGCAGTGAAGCGCAGACCCCAGGGCCTGGATGCTGCTGGTGATGGCTGGACATAGTCCTTAGAGAACTGGGATGCTGGGGTGCATGGCTCTGGTCTCCACCATCTGACCACCTTGGTGGCACAGCTCCGGGCTGCCCCCCTCCTTGCTGTGATGCTCACATGAAGCGCGTCTGCTTTTAAAAGGAGGGCCCCAGGTTGTGTGTTGCTCTTTGCTATTTGGCCACGGTATCTGTTACGTACTAATTTCCCTTCAGCCTTGTGCTGAAGTTGGTAAACCACAGCCTGCCGCCAGGGCTCTCCGGGCTGGTGCTTTCCGCTGCCGTGCGCTCTTGACATGTCTATTCCCAGCTGGGACAGCTCGGTCGTGCTCAGTCTCCGGCAACATGGACCAAAGGGAGATTGTGCTGCAAAACCTGGAAAGGGCACAAAGCAAGAAGCTCAACCGAGAGAAGTTTGCCGAGGAGTTTTCGGTGAGTTCGCCTCGGGCACAGGTTTGTTTCAGTTGGCTCTAAAGGGAACTGCTCAGTCGCTGCTCAAGCGGGGATGTGATTTGCATGTGACAATAAGACTTCTATGAATTTCGCAGCACAAAGAGCCACGGGAGGTAACTGGGGTGAAAGGGATGTAAAGACATGAGAGCAATTGAATAGTTTGCTTTTTACACAATTACCTGAGTGCTTCCTGTTTTCTCCCTTGTGAATGTGCTGCTCAGGACAGTTTCACTTTGCCTGGTAGTGGAACTGGGGATACAGTGAGGAATACGGAGGTGCTGCCCCTTCTCCCCACTGCAATCTGTGATACCCCTCTTCCTGTCAGGGATCTCCAGCTCGCACTTGTCATAGCTTTTCCCCCTTTCCTTTCATCTGTGCCACCTGCAGAGTGCAGCGGGTGTTCAGAGGAACACCCTGTGGGCCTGAGGTTGTCCCACCTCTCACTGGTACTGGGTGCCTTGGCTAAGGCGTGAGTAGGCTGCAGCCTGAGCCCCTGGATGGGCTGTTTCCCCAGCGCTGCGCTGGCTGTGTGGCAGGGCTCATGCATGCATCCTTAATGGGTGCGTGTGCCTGACATCCACCAGTGCCCCTCTCAGAAACTGATTTCTTGTTCCCTCAGTGCAAAACTAGCAGAAAATGCCGATGGTTCTCACCCTCCCCTGCATTCTGCAGTGTCATAGAATCATAGAATAGTTAGGGTTGGAAAGAACCTTAAGATCATCCAGTTCCAACCCCCCCACCATGGGCAGGGACACCTCACACTAAACCATCTCACCCAAGGCTTCGTCCAACCTGGTCTTGAACACTGCCAGGGATGAAGCATTCACAACCTCCCTGGGCAACCCATTCCAGTGCCTCACCACCCTAACAGGAAAGATTTTCCTCCTTAGATCCAATCTAAACTTCCCCTGTTTAAGTCCAGCTGGCTGAGATCAGTGCAGTGCGCTGATCTGTGAGCTCTCTGACATCTTTGGGTGGCAAACCACTGTCCCCCAGTTAAAGCCGGTGACTGGCGCTGGCTGTTGGAGGAAGGTTGCTTGGCAGGCTGGCTGAGCTGCTCTGACAAGCAAAGGCATTGCCCATCTTTAGCAGACATAGGGAAGGGTAAAACTGGTCCATTTGTAAGATCTGAGCTGTCTCAAACACCAGAATAAGCCCTGGCTCCGAGCTGCCCCCCTGACAAGGGCTGCATCAGGCAGTGGTCCCTGAGGAAGGTGCAGAGGTTACTTAGTTCTCACAAGATCCAGCCCTGCTTTGTCATAGCAGCGAAGGCTGGCACTTCAAAGACTTGGGAAAAGCTTAGTGCTTGGTTTCCAGGTGTCTGGGTTGGAGGGAAGTGGTTCATCTGAGCTTGCAATGACAGGCTGTTGTTCCATGGAACAAAGTGCTGTCACAGGTTGCTGAATTTCCCCCTCTTGCTGCTGTGCTTAGGGCTGGGCTGTGCAGGCTGCCGGGCCCTCAGGTAGTCAAGGCTGCATTTCCCTTTGTACTGGGAAGAGATCCCTCCAGGGTGACCTGAGCTGCTACCACTTTGGCAAGCACAGAAGCCTTAACAGGCAGCGGCAATGACTTGCTTTTCCCAACTGGGTGGTGGGAAAGGGAGATTTGCCCTATAGTTGTAGAGACACCAATTAGAGAAACATCCCTTTGTTGTAAATCAAAAGCACCCCTTGGTGACAGAAAAGTGGTGAGGTAGACAGAATATTATGAAAGAAAAAACACAGCAAGGATGGTGCTTTTGAAGTTGCTGCTAACAAACAGTGCCTTATTTAGAAGCTGATGCCAGTGAAATAAAAGTCGATGCTTTGGCAGGAAAAAAGATGCTTGAACTCTCCAAAAGCACTGCAGAAGTATCTTGGAAATGAAAGAGATGAGGGATTCTTACCCCTAAAGGTCTATCCTAGGACTCCTCATTTCTTTTTTCATCAGTGCCCATAGCTGCTTTGCTCTGTGCTCTTTAGTAGCTTGAGCATTGCTGCTTGCAGCTACAGACGGGAGCATCTTCACCAAAGGGAGAAAAATCATTTGATTTATCTGTCTTTTCTGATGCCATTTGTTAAAGGTGGTTTAACATTGCTGCTCCTCTTATCTGGGTGCCATTTATACCGAGAATGATTCCCCTGTGTCTCACTTATTTGTGAGGGCGATGCTTTATGTGCTGGATAAATGCATCATTATTTCACTTCAGAAGCCTACGTGCCTGAGCCTCATGGAGGCACTGCCTTAGCACACAATTTCCATTGCTCAGAAGCCTGTGCTGGGACTCTCCGGTGGCTTCTGCCTCTATTTTTGCTCTGAGTACCTTGTGAAAAGCCACTTAGGAAAGAATTAATGGTGAACACTTGCTTTGTGTCACCGAACCTGACCCCTGTACGCTCAAGTAGTGTGTTGTATGTAGCACATCTGCTGTAATTTGTTCCCTTCTTTCATCACAGAAGCTGAAAAGGCAGTCAACAAAGTACAGATCAGATAAAATCTACCCTACAGCAGCATCTGAGCAACCAGAGAACATCAAGAAGAACAGATACAAGGATATCTTACCCTGTAGGTTGGAGTATGTTCTTATTCAGCCTTTTTTTATTCCTAGCTCAACACTTCTCATCCTCCAGCTGCCTGCACAGTTGCTCGTATGGGAGCATGTAGCTGGCTGCCAGTTGGCCTTAAATTAGTGGCAATTCCACGCAGGAGGAGGCATCAGCTGCTCTGGGATGAGCTCTCTGATGTACACCTTTTGCTGCAGTCTGAGGAGCTCAGCTGCCATGAGAGATGAACAGTAATTGCTGCTGCTTCTGCTTTTGTGCCTTGCAGTTGACCACAGCAGAGTGGAGCTGTCCCTGATTACATCCGATACAGATTCTCATTACATCAATGCCAACTTCATCAAGGTATTGCTACGTTCATGGGGCTTTGCTGTGCAGAGGTGTTAACAGCAGCTGTTAGTGCAGCAGTTTCTGGGCTGTGCTGAGGGGTAACTGAGGTAAAGATGTGGACAATCAGTGAGCCCTTCAAACAGCCCTTGCAGCATACAGGCCCTAGGCTACAGAGCAAGGGATGTGTGGGGAGGGCAGGCAAGGGACCACAGGGCAGGTGGTGGAACAGTTTGTGGTTCACAGCCCTGGCTTCCTTGCCGCTGTTACTGCCTTTGGTGGGTGACACTGGTGCAAAATTGCCTGTGGCCAGAGTCACCTTGCCTGAAACCAGTGCACAGGCAGGAAGTCTTGCACTGCAGCATGGCTGAGACCCGCTTCAGCAGCAAGCAAGAGCATAGGTCAATGCAGGCTGGTTCTCCATCAGCAGCTCCATGTGTTTTGGGACTCTTCCTTCACTCATGATCCCTCTCTGATAGACAGGAGGTTTCCTTCATTCTCCACCATTCTGACCAAGGGCTCTGTGTAACCTGTCTGCAGAAGAGCAGATCTTCACATGGTTTGTTCTCTGGCCAACAGCCACAGATATGCCAAGCTGCACACTGCAGAGCCAGAGCAGATGTGGTAACATCACCATCAAGCTCCCAAATGCACCGCAAGTACTGGTGGCTCTGGGAGCAGATCCTACCTCAAGCCAGTTTCCTGGCTTGGGTCTGCCTTTGGGAGGTTTGCACACCATTGGTTTCTGGTTGCTTCATTTAATGTAGGTGCTTAAAATTTAACTATATAAAAGCCCTTCCAAATGATGAATGGGCTCCTTGAGTAGAAGTAAGATTCAGAAAGAAGAACGACTTTATTTCTGCTAGTGGACTGTAGAAAGATGTCTCCATGTCTGATTTGAATGCTGTTTTAGGGCGTCTATGGGCCAAGAGCTTACATTGCAACGCAGGGTCCCCTCCCCACTACTGTCATTGACTTTTGGAGGATGATTTGGGAGTATGAAGTCCTGGTAAGGTGCAGATTTAGATGCCTTTTTTCTGTGTGTGTGTGGTATTTGTTGGGTGGGGGTTTGTTGGTTTTGGGGGTTGTTTTTTTTGTTTTGGGTTTTTTGGTATGTTTTTTGGTATATTTTGTGAAAAGTTGTCCATCCTGAAGACCTTTTTGACTAAGCAGACAGTGGGAGTGTCAGGGTTTTACTCCAGGTGTTGTAATGTGTGCCCCATGGGCCCCCTCCACACACACTGAGACAGGAATCTGCCCGTGGCTGTCTACACTCAGGCTCTGAGTGGGGAAGGTCCTTGCACCCAGGCTGTGGATGATGTCCCAGGTTTGATTTCCCAGGTCTCTGGGAAGGGCAGCCCACCGAACTTCCTCACTGCTGCTAAGTACCCACAAGTGATGCGCTGGATTTTGCTGCCTGGATAAGAAACTTGGGTTCAGGCTTTTCTAATGCATCTTTTTTTCTGCAGATTGTGGTCATGGCTTGCATGGAGTTTGAAATGGGAAAGGTGAGTAATGTGTCAGAGATGGCCTATGCCGTGACAGTGCCAGGGCAGGGTGGGGAGATGCAGTTTGGAATAAACCTTAGTAGCAACAGCAAGTTTCTTCTTGATTCAAGATGTTTCCTGAGTGTCCAGCTGCAGATTTTTAAACCATTCCCAGTAGTGCAGCTGGCCTCTTTGGAAGGGAAAGAGCAGCAGTGATGGCTCCAGGGAAGAGGAGGCTGCTGCAAGAGCCAGGCCTCCTCCCAGCACAACTTTTGTCCTGCAGAGTGAGGCAGGAGATGGTGTGGGTGGGCTGGCGCTGAATAACCAAATACATCCTGCTTCTCACCGCAGAAGAAATGCGAGCGGTACTGGGCAGAGGTGGACGGCTCTCCCTTGCAGTGCGGTCCTTTCTCCATTGCCTGTGTGAGTACCGCTGCCACCAGCACCACGTCACAGCACCATGTGCTGGAAACTCGTGTCATCTGCAGAAAACGTGACTCCAACTTGTTCTGCAGGAAGCTGAAGAGAAGAAAAATGAGTATGTGATTAGGAGGTTAAAGGTGACCCTGAATGAGGTAAGGAGGAGAGGACACCAGCTTCCCCTGCCCGTGCTGACATCCAGGTCTGCGCCCAGGGGAGCCGCAGCAGCATCCCCTTGGTGGCACAGGGTGGCCCCAGACCCTGACAGTGCTCCTAGAGTCATAAAATGGACAGGCTGGAAAAGCCCTTTAAGCTCATCCAGTACAACCATTCCCCAGCACTGCCAAGGCCACCACTAACCCATGGCACTAAGTGCCACATCTATATGACTTCTAAATACCTCCAGGGATGGTGACCGCAGCCCTGCCCTGGGCAGCCTGTTCCAATGCCTGAGCACCCTTTGGGGAAGGAATTGTTCCTCAGCTCCATCTAAACGTGCCCTGGTGCAGCTTGAGGCCATTTCCTCTTGTCCCATCCCTTGTTACTCTTCTCTTGCAGGAAATCCGCACCGTCCACCAGTTCCACTATAAAAACTGGCCTGACCACAACGTGCCCTCATCCATTGACCCCATCCTGGAGCTCATTGGCGAGATTCGCTGCTACCAGCCAGGTGACAGTGTCCCCATCTGCATCCACTGCAGGTGGGTGAGTGGTCACTGGTAGGGAAGCACTGCAAGTCCTCAGTCCTCCATGCTCTTTCTTCTTGAGCAGCCACAGGGAGGGTGGAAGTGGGGGCAAGCCTGCACCAAGCTTCTCTTGTAGGGAGTCCTCTGAGGACAGCTAACACAGCTGAGTGGCAGGAAAGGAGACAGCAGCAGGCCAGCAATAGCATGTGTACTTAAGAGACCATCAACACTGGGCATGTCCATGCCCTACCACAGGAGGACTGAGCCTGTTTGCAAGAGCATGGGATGCACCTTCCCACGTGCAGCAGAGCCGTACATGGGGTGGATGAAGCTGCACAGGGCTGTCCTGAAGGTCTGCACCCCGTGCAGTGTGGGATGGGAGGGTCACAGGAGGTTGTGGATCTTGTCAGCAAACACAGCATGCCACCCTCTGAGCTCTGCCAGCAACCCTGCTGTCACTGTCATTGCAGTGCAGGCTGTGGGAGAACAGGAGTCATCTGTGCAATTGACTACACCCAGAAGCTGCTGAGGGACAGGGTGAGTGTCAGCCTGGTCTGTGCCTCCCTACAGCATCCGCCTGCAGCAGCGCTCCATCTCTCTGCCTCCTCCTTGCCTCCAATCTCCCCTCAGTCTCCCTTTTACCCCTTCTGAATACATACAGATGTATTTCAGATGACAGCCACGAATGCAAACTCCCTGCAGCCTGACTGGAGAATGGCAGTGGTCAAACCAGCGATATCCCATTCCCAGTTTGTGCTGCTTCTCTCTAGGTTCTGCATCAGTCCATTGCCATTGCTCTCTTCCCCATCCCAATGGGAAGTAGTCCCTGATGCTTGTACTGATGGGGCAGCGCTCCCATTGCGCTTTCTGGCAGGCCCTTTAGATCATGGAGCATGGCTCTGTGCTGGCCTTCAGTCTTCAAGGTGACTTTGCTGGCTGCATTTGTCTCCCTGCACTTAAGCATCAGAAATCCAGCATTTCCAAACTAAAATCTTGCTTTACTCTGACTCTTCAGTAAAAACGGATGTGAAGTAATCTCTGTCCATGCAGCAGTCTCCTGGGATGCAGAGGAGAGGCTGCTCTCTGTGCTACAGCAACCCTGAACCCACTGATCTGGGAAATCAGTGTCTTGTCTTTCATGCTATTCACAGCTGTTACCAATGCTGGTATCAAAAGTGTATTTGCTGTGCAGTGCAAGGCAGGAGGGAGGAGGAAAGCTGGTTCCTAATGAAAAAACAGCACTTCAAGCAGGTCTTTGGTTAAAACCTTCTGCAATGGCAGCCCTGGAGTTTGGACCTTTCTCTAAGCTGCATCACGGTGTGGAAGCTGCTTGCAATTGGACCTGTCTATACCTTTGTGTCTTTTCTCTTTCTTGCAAGATCGTTCCAGTGAACTTCAGTGTTTTTAGCCTGATCCAGGAAATGCGCACACAAAGGCCTTCCATAGTGCAGACCAAGGTATGCCTGGGAAACTTCACCTACTGGGATCTCAGGTGTCCATACTGGGACCTCAGCTGCTCCCCAGGAGGGTCCGCAATGAGGTCCTGCTCAGCCTGGAGAAGAGAAGCTGCATGGAGACCTCAGAGCAGCTTCCAGTGTCTGAAGGGGGCTACAAGGATGCTGGAGAGGGACTCTTCATTAGGGACTGGAGTGATAGGACAAGGGGCGATGGGTTCAAACTGAAACAGGAGAAGTTCAGGTTGGAGATAAGGAAGAAGCTCTTCCCTGTGAGGGTGCTGAAGCACTGGCACAGGGTGCCCAAAGAATTGGTGAATGCTCCATCCCTGGCAGGGCTCAAGGCCAGAGTTGGCCAGGTTCAAGGTTGGACATAGTCTTGAGCGACATGGTTTAGTGTGAGGGGTCCCTGCCTATGACATGGGGGTTGGAACTGGATGATCTTAAGGTCCTTTGCAACCCTAACCATTCTGTGATTCTATGTGATTCTATGAAACACAGAGTGGTTGTGCTGCTGGGGACTGGAGTGGGCAGATGTCCTGCAAGGTCCTTCTTCTGAACAGCAGATTGATTTGGCAGAAACTAATTTGATAGCTGAGCATTTTCCTGTTCACTGCTGGAGCTCAGTGCTTGCAGTCTGATCTATCAAATGTGAATGCTGTGAAACCAGGGACTGGCCAGGAAATCGAGTGGGAACTCAGCTGAGAAGCTGAGAGGAAGCTCAGGGCAGACCAGCATTGCTTGTGCACCCAAAAACCCCCAAGAGCTTCGGTCTGAACCCTGTGAAAGCTGTGGCTTCTATGCCTTCTGAGAATTTACCTTACTGATGGATCAGAAAGTGGCAGCTTCTCTCAGGGGCTGCTGCTTGATTCGGGTAACAGGTGACCAGTGGAGTGCTGCAGATGCTGGCTCTCACGTGTGGTTTATCTGTCTGGAACACAGGAGCAGTATGAGCTGGTTTATGATGCGGTGATTGAGCTCTTCAAAAGGCAGATTGAAGCACTCGATGCCCAGGAAGACTCTGCTGCTTCCCAGGTAAGAGTCCCCAGGAGAAACACACCTCAGGCACACCAGCTCCAACCTTGATGCCTTCTGCAGAGGTCTCCTCGGCGGAGCTGGAATGAATCCCCATGTTTTCCGCTATCCTTGATGCCCAAACTGAGTCTCTTTTCAAGTTAGCACATGAGAATCCACCTGTTTCCCTGAAGGAGCAATGCTTATCACAGGATTTAGCCGCAAGCAAGAGCTAAATTTCCTTCGGTCTCAGGCCCATTTTCTGTAGATGTTCATGACTGTTTAATGTAATGAGTGAATAGAAAGCACCAGCTTTCTAGAGCAGCAGCTGATTTCCATGTGGATGTGCCAGTGAGAGACTTGTTTTCATGGAGTGCTTGCAAGTGACAGGATGACTTTCAGTCTAGGCTGGGAAGCTTGGGTGCACAAGGTGGTATGGCTAGGAGTATTAGCCTGCAGTACAGGGGTATGCGAGTGAGGCAATTCTCATTGCAGCCTGTCTGTGCGAGAGAGAAGGCTAAAATGTCTTGTGAAAACCATGTCAAAGCCCTTCACATCTGATACACCTCGAAGGAAAAACAACAGGGGCTTGGTATGAAGCTGCATATAAACAGGAACATCCAAACATCCATGGTTAAGCTTTGCTTTTGTTGTTCTCCTGTGACTGCTGGCACAAACCTTGCCTTTCCTGTGTAGCTGTTTGCAAGCTGGCTGAAGAAAATGCATTGCAAAGGCTAAAGGTTACAGTTAGCTTGTTTTGTCAGAGGCTTTTGTCTAAAGGATTGGGAACAGGATCCTGCTATGGGACTTGTACCTCAGTTTTGCCAGGGGATCCGCAGGATGTTCCAAGCCAGAGCTGCATGAGGAAAGAGCTGTGAAGAGCCTCTTTCTGTGAGTTGTGAACAGTCTGTAAGCAAAGGACATGCAAGAGCAGGTTGACATAAAACGCAGGAAATGGTTCAAGTCTAGATGTGATTTTGTAGCGCCTGGCCAGACCTCTTCCCTGCCTAAACCTCATGGCCCTCTGAAAGCACTTTTCAGAGCAGAGGGGATGAGCACAACGTGAAGTGTCACAAATGAAGCCAGTGCCCAGGTAGCCAGACTGGGGGGGTCCTGCAGGCAGAGTGGTCTGTGCAGGCTGTTTTGCAGGTGTCTGGAACAGCTGGATGGTTGCACAGCTTGATGGGCTCTCCCAGGAACTGCTGCTCAGGAAGTCCTGCACCCAGTTTTCAGCTCCAAGTTGGTGTTTTCAAGTTGTCATTTGTCATTTCCAAACTGCATTAATAATTGAAAGTAGTTGGCCCAAATTCCAGGTCCTGAAATAGGCTGTTTGTGTTCTTTGCGTTTTTCTTCCTCACTCTTGTTTTCTAACCTTCTCTTTCACTAGGTGCAAGCAAAGCATCCTGCAGCCAAGCCACTTCTGAGTCCAGTGGAAGATATTTATTCCCTGAGTTTATTAACATGGTAAGGCCATAGCACAGGTAGCCCCTGCGCTGGTGTTTTCAGTCACCCGCAGGATTTCAGGAAGGGCATTTTTTAGTGTGTGTTTTGTGACACAGTTCTCTTTGAATGCTGCATTTCAGCTGTCAGCAGGATCTGCAGCCTCCCTTGAGTCCCACTTTGACTCTCACATTTGCTCCTAACGTAATTCCTGCTCTTATTGATGTGTCTCCAAGACTGAGTCCCAGTCTCTTCCCTGCATGCCATCCTGTGTCTCGCTCTTCTGCCCTTGGGCATGTTTCATGGTTTTCCTATATATGAACTGAAAACACCTTGCAGAGCAGTATAAAGAGGCTCACACACATGGAGACACCCCAGTGCTGGTGCATCTCAGCCCTCTGCCTGGAGCTGTGCTCCTAGATTGCTCCCATCTTTCATCTGCATGGGCTGCTCCAGTGCCTCTTGCTGTAGCAATAGGAAGCCTGAGAAGTCCCATTTGCCAACATGGGCAGCTTCAGAGGGTGACAGGATCTTCCTGCAGGCATGGTTTGGTTTGCAGTGTCTGCTTTCCATAAATAATTTTTGGGTTTGGTATAGTTTACCTTCCTAAAGGGGCCTTCTCTGTTCACCATTTAATGGTGATCAAATGGGGCACTAGGGTCCTTCCCTGCACTCCTTGCTTGAGGCTGAGCTGGGCTCTGCATTCTTGGGGGATGGATCTGATCTTAGGAGCAATGTCACGGGGCCTTGTTAATAGGCTAACAGAGGTTTCTGAGTACTAGATGGCTTTGACTCCACATCACGGTGCTTTGTTGCAGTTCAGAGCAAGAGAAGCAAGATGTGCATCAGCGCCTTCCTCCAGTGGTACAAAGCAAAGCATCCCTGACATCGTTGTCTGCCACAGGAGTACAGGAGAGCTCTGCATGTGGAGTCCCTCCCATCAGACAAGCCATCTCCTTCAGCACTTTGAACTGCATCACCTGCACGAAGGCAGCAACCGCTGAGGAGTGGGACACTGGGGATGCTTTTCAGAAGCACCACAGTTTGGATTTCAAGCGCATCTCTCCTGAGCAGCTGCTTTTGAACCTGGAGCCAACGGGAGCAGGCAGGAGAGGACCTCACAGCAGGGCACCTCTGACATGGGCTGCATCGACCCCTTTTGTGCTGGCACAGCAGGGAGAAGGCTGGCAATGGGACAGAGGGGATGCAAAGCCTGGTTTGAGTTCACGGTTGCCAAATGCCTGTTCCTCAAGCTTTCAGATGAAGAAGCAGGATGGATTTTCTCCTGTTGAGCTGAACCACTTGAGACAAGAAGCATACGGCCCTCCAAAGCACAGGGACCGTGGGCAACGTCCTCACTCTTGCTTCTGCTCAGCAGAAGACCCCTACTTCTCTTCACTCTCCCCAGATGAACCCATGTCCTCGGTGTTTACTGAGTGCTTTGCACAGAGCCAGGATGCACTTCTCCTTCCTTGTGCTGTGAGTGCTCCACCACAGCCTGCTGTGGCCAGCCCCCTACCATCCAGATCCGCATCCCACCACACTCACCTGCTGCAGGATGAGAGGATATCCTCCCTGAGTAAGTGGTGTGGCATGTGATGAACTGGGTTTGGTCCCTCTGGATTGTGGTGTACAGGAAGGGGTGGCGAATGTTGGCTTTTGGTGTCCAGGCAGGGCTGTAGCTGTTCCTTGGGACTGCGTTCCCATGGGAGCTGAGGGAGCAACTGGTTTCATCCTCACACTCGTTTCTTCCTGCCTTAAATTTTTCCTATAAAAACAAACCAACACTTTCAGAACAGCCTGATTTGGGGGTTTGCATTACCCAGCTGCTCTGGACTCCTGTGTCAACCTTGGTACAGCTCGCAAAGGCAGGCAGGGATTGGTGCCAACCAGTCCTTAAAACAAGAGTGCTCCAAGAAAAGTTCAGAAAGCTCCCAGAAATGGTTTTCTCTGAGGATCTAGTTTCCAGCTGAAAACCCACTCCTTCCTGTAGTGTTGTGCAGCGGGATGCTGACATCCCACTGACGCTGAGAGAGCCAGGACTTTAACATCAGTTTTTTGCCCAGTTCTGTAGCCCTAAAACCATGACCTGCAGTATGTAGAAGGTAAAATTAATTCTTTGGTCTTTTCAGTCCTGGCCCAGTTGGATATTTCCCACTCTCCACAGCTTTGGCACCTGCTCAGCTTTGTCCTACTCAGGCCATTTAGCATTCGGTGTCACAACAGTGTGCTCCTTATCTAGATGCTAGAGGCTCTGGAAGTTATGGGAGTTGCAGCACAAGCCAAGCAGCAATGGTACTGCCAGCTGTGGGCTTGGCTGTGTTCTGGGCTCTGTGCAATGGGAATTCTGCAGGCAACACTGCTGGAAGTCTGCCCTTAGGGCCATGTAGCTAGTGGCAGGTGAACTGGTCCCGAGGGCTATTTGGATCTTTAACTACAGTTTAGAGGTGTTTCACCACCATCTCTGGTGTGTGGTTGGGCAAGGGCAGCCAGCTCTGAGTCTCCAAAAGGTCTGTAGTTCTGCTGCTGTGTTGTGCCATGCATGTCCCTGTCTCTCCAATCAGCCACACCGCCAGAGCCAGATGATGATGATGATGATGATGATCCTCCACCCCTGCCTGAGCGAACCCCTGAGTCCTTTATCGTGGCCAGTGACTTCGGTAAGTGCATTTTAAAAAGCAGGGGCTAAGAAGGGCTCTGAGGGCTCTTCCCTTCTTTGTTTGGTACTGTAGCATCTGGCAGTGCCTTTGCCCTGGCTGCTTGGGATGGAAAACGACCTCTCTTGTGTTCCATTGCTTCCAGGACAATTTCCTCTGGCAACCTCTGATTTTCAGCTTCCAGCCAGAGATACACATGTCAGAACCTCTCTGGAGCGGAGGAGCAAGTCTCACTCAGAGGTGTTCGATGACTCAGTGAGACTGAGACCATGTAAGGTACAAAAGCGGCTTCCTACTTCTTCTCTAGCACTATCACTATGCCGATTTCCTTCTTGTGTTTTCTTCTGCAAGACCCTGCTTTTAGCACTGTGTACCTTCCATAAATTATTTCAGGGCTCAGGACTGAATAGAAGAGGTGGTCTCAGTCAGGCTTCTCCTTACCAACACCTACTTTACTCCAAACATTATCTTCTGGGGTCTTAAATGCCATACATAGTCACTCGTTTAGAGAAGGATAACGAAGACAGGAAGTTAGTGATCCAGTGAGGTTTACACTGCCCTGGGGAACAGGCAGGAGCTGAACAAAATTAAGGCATCTTTGATCATAGTTTCAATTATAGCTTTGTAAAGTGAAACAATAAGGCGTAAGTCTATCTTCCATTACATGAGTATGGAGGTGTGTGTGGGAGGGTGTTTGCACATAACATCATTTCCTTGTCTTCTCTAGCTTGCCTGTGTGCAAGAGAATGACATTTGGTTGTGGGAATTATAAATACTTTCCCTGTTTTTTGTTTCCAGAGTGTGAAGCTTCGGAGCCCACAAGCAGGTATGAATTTAACGCTGGGATAAGCTATCTTTGAAGTAAGGTCTGCTTTGTACTGCTTTAGCAGATTTAGTCTTTAGGATTTGTGCTCAGTCAATGGAAAATTTGTGTTGCTAAATAGTTCTGCAACTAAATCATTTTAAACAGGACTAGAAGTTCTAGAACCAAAGGTTTTTATTGCCTAATCAGCTCTCGCCTTGCCCTGTGCACCGTGATGTTCCTCATGGACCCTCAGGCTGAGGGTTGTCATGTCATTTGCTGCCTGCTGTGTGTTTCCTTTGAGATGATTGAGATGCTGAGGACCTCTTGGTGAGCTGTGATATGGGTATATTTAAAGCTAGGCAACCAGCTCTTTTATCTTTGCTTTCTCAGAGACAACCTGGGATTGCTCTAGCTCTCCTCCTCCGCTTCCTGAAAGAACCCCGAACTCATTTGTTCTTGATGATGCTGCAAGTGAGTGACAAGTTCTTTTCTCAGCACATAACCAAGATCTTACACGTACACCTAAACCTGTAGATAGCTGAGGAGATCATGGCCCCTTTGTTCAGAGCATTACCAACAGCAGCGCTTCAGGACTCGACTGCAGGAGAGTTGAGCAGATATAGAGAAAATAAATGCAACTGGAACACCCTGCTCTAGTGGAAGGTGTCCCTGCCCGTGGCAGGGGGTTGGAACTGAATGAGCTTTAAGGTTCTTTCCAACCCAAACCACTCTGGGATTCAATGAACTAGGGGACCTGCTGGAAATGTTTATAACTGCTGCATTAGAGGAAATGAAAAGCAACAAGAAAGGCAGAAGGATTCATGAAAGATCACTGAGAAGGTTCTTGTGTGTGTACCCAGGTCTGCAGCCTGCTGTAAGAAATCCTATGCGTCCTGAAGGCTTGGAGAGCAATGCTGCCATAACATCATCAAAAAAGTCTACTAACTGCTTCAGGAGAAGCAAGGTAAAAACAAGACAAGACAAAGCTATTGCAAATGGAGAGGGTGAGAAGAAGAGATCATTCTAGCCACAGCTATTGCTACTTTCTCACTGCTAACCTTGTGAAAATTGCCTGCTTTGAGACCCCCTTGTTTATGGCAAGGAAACCAGACTGCTAAACCCAGTCTGCAGTAGAACCTGCAACCAAACCCATTGCCTGCAGTAGGAACAGAGCAACACAGCTATGCCTATGCAAAGGATTATTCCTTGGTGCTGTGTCCACCTGAAGCACCAGTTCCTCTGGGAAAAAAAGTTGCTCGAGTGGAGTCTGAGTGTGTCCTACGTGAGTCTGCTCATCAGCAGTCTCCTCTTGTGGCCCTAGTAAAGCATACTCTCAAGCAATTGTACTGGGGGATGTTATAGTTGGGCAGAAAAGCAGTTGAGGAAACAGCAAGAAGACTACAAACTGGTGACATTCAGGATGGCTGGAAAAGAGGCAGAGACAAAGTGAACGGCAGAAATCTGCCCTTCAGTCTCAGCTGCTAGGCACAATACTTTCTATGGGATGTGATACGTGTGTTTATCAGTAAATTCTCTTTATCATAGCAGCTGACCTATTGCTTGCTACATTTTTTTCCATCAAGCCTTCTTTTGCTTTTTTTTTCTTATTTTTTTTTCCACAGAGCTTGAAAATACTGAAAAACATGAGGAAGAGTAAGTTTTTCAGGCTAACGTGCATCTTCCTGATGACTTTAAGCAAGTAAATAAGGAAATAGATGGGACTGAACTTCTGGGAACCTGAACTTGTGCAGTGTGAAACACTGCATGCCTGCCTACTTCGCAGTAGGATGCAGAGCTGGCCAGCTGAGTACCATCATATCTGTATAGCAATAGCTGCTCTAGGAGCATCCTAAGGGTGCCCTTGTAATGCCCTTGGGATACCCTGGGGACAGCTCCAGTGTACCTAAATTATCAAATTCCTCAGGTCATTCAAGACAGTGTTGTGGGACAAATAGTCCAAAACCGGCGGACAGGGGTACTGTGGGAATGTGAGCCCCATCCTGGGCTCTGCCCAATCTATTTGGAGGAGTTCCTCATTAGGTTTCCTTTGATCTAAAATGATGATGCTTGGCTTGAAAATAGGATTGTTCAAACTGTTTAAAGCACTGAGCAAACAGTTTCCCAGTGGATTGCTCTGCAGTAGTACACTTGCTCCCTGCTACAAGCAAATAATGTTGTTAAAACCATGTGGTACTTGGGCTCTGCTAGTGTGAAAGTACTTGATTTTGCCTCATGCTGGAAAATCATCCATGCCTGGTGCCATCGTGCCTCCGGCAGTACGTGTTTTCCCTGTGTCAGAGTCCAGCTCTTCAGGGTATTACCCCAGTGACAAACTGCTTCAGCCTGATTTTTCGTTTCTAGGCATCTGTAGTCCATCTTCACTGACGAAAGCGCCAGATTCTGCCCCGTCAAACAGTTCCAGGTCCTTCCTTAACTTTGGTATGCTCTTCTCTTTGTATTCTTTTGTGTAGGAAGTGCCTGTTGTATGAAAACCTAAATGCAGGTACCAGGCAGTACGCTACCAAATGAGGAACATTGCAAGTAATGCTTGTTATTTTGTACACATTTACAACTTCATTTGCAAGCTGTTTAATGAACACATAAGGATGGAAAACACAAACGCTGAAACCTACTCTGACAAATGTTTCTTGGTGCGTGAGGAGGCTGAAGCACGTATTTGGCTCCCCTGTATCTGAAAGCTTTTATGTGGCAACAGGGACAGCAGAAGACAAATACAAAGATGTAGCATTGCCATTAGGCTGCTGCCTTGTGTAATATGGCATGGGAGAAATACCATTTTCCATTTGAAAATCTACTAGAGAGCAAATATTTATTAGATTGTGCATAAAATCTAGTTACCTTGATATTCACACTATAACGATGGTATTTTCTGACAGACATTTTTGGCATCATTTGACTTACAACTACAGGATGTTGCTTGTCTACCATGTTTTATATATATACACACACTCATAAATATGTATTAAAGTTTGGGAAAGAACTGAAATTACAAGTATTTTCAAGTACCGTGTTATTAAGGAATTACATAATCAACTTCTATAACATACAGAATTTGTTGCATTAAAGAAAAATGTCTTTTTTCCTAGGCTTTGCAAATCGATTTTCAAAACCTAAAGGACCAAGAAATCCACCACCAGCATGGGATATTTAGGTAATTGGCATTGTAGATTTGTAAGGCACTACTTGCTCATTCATTAACTAAAGTTTTGAAGTAAAGAAGAACATGAAAGTACCAGCAGGACAGCACCTTCAGTTAATTTATAGCAGGATGGAAATGAAAACCAGACCATTTTATGCTAAGGAGGGATAAATTTTTTGTTGTGTTTCGGAATGTATCCTCTGCAAAAGGATGGATTTGAGCTTTCTAAACCAGCAGAGCAAACTGGTGATAGGATCTAGTGAAGACTCCTGAATGATATGGAAGGCCAACAGCATGGACCAATGCAGAATGAGTCTCCAGATGGTGCAGACACAGCATCTGCCTGACTTCACTCAAGTGTGTAGGTTTACCATAATGAAAGACACTTTAGGAGTCAAATTCCTTAAATGTTTACATCACTTGGAGTGACACGGACGAGCATCTCCAATTTCAGAAATAACTTTTCAGTTCTTTTTTCATCTGAGCAAATCAGATAATTTATCTAGGTTTTTGGTCAGTAAGACCCAAGATGCCAATTGATCATATAGAAACTAAACCAGTGTACCAGGCTGCAGAATTCCCTGACCAAACAGCCCCTGCTGTCTGGAAAATAAATGACTTGGTATGATTATTTTTCTGTAGAAAGAAGAAAAAAAGAGGATTTCCTTTTTTTTTTTTTTTTTTTTTAAATTAAAGGGAAAAAACCTACCTGGAAAATTGTCTTCAGTTGTGGGCCCCACTACACAAAAAAGATGTGGACAGGTTCAAGAGGGTCCAGAGAAAGGCCACAAAGATGAGCCAAGGTCTAGGAAGCTGTGGGAGGAAAGGCTGAGAGCTGGATCTTTTCAGTCTGGGGAAGGCTCAGGGAAGACCTTGTCACCATGTGCCAGTATTTAAAGGGTGGCTACAAAGGCAACAGAGACTCCCTTTTGACAAGGAGTCCCATGGAAAAGACAAGGGGTGATGGGCACGAGTTACTCCTGGGGTGATTCTGACTGGACTCAAGAGGAAAGTTTTCCCCAATGAGAACAACCAGCCATTGGAATAATCTCCCCAGGGAAGTGGTGGATTCCCCAACATTGGACACTGTTAAACTTTGGCTGGACAGGGTGCTGGGACATCAAGTCTAGGTCATGCTTTGCCTGGAAATGTTGGATCAGATGATACTTGAGTTTCCTTCCAAACTGGGATTCTGTGATTCAAAGAGGGATTTGGGGAATTTGTTTGAGAGCAATTTGCTGACTGCTATGGGAAGAGAGACCTCAAGCTGGTTTAAAACTACTTTTGCTGGGGCAATGGCCAATACAGCCCAAAACCAAACTGCCTTATTTATGACTTGAAGATAGGCTGAGAACGTTGGGGCTGTTCAGCCTGAAGAAGAGAAGCTGCATGGAGAAATCAAAGCACCTTCTAGTATCTGAAGGGGGGCTCTAAGGATGCTGGGGAGGGACTCTTCATTAGGAACTGTAGTGACAGGACAAGGGGTGATGGGTTTAAACTGAAACAGGGGCAGTTTAGATTGGATCTAAGGAGGAAATTCTTTATTGTGAGGGTGGTGAGGCACTGGAATGGGTTGCCCAGGGAGGTTGTGAATGCTCCATCCCTGGTGGTGTTCAAGGCCAGCTTGGACAGAGCCTTGGGTGAGATGGTTTAGTGGGAGGTGTCCCTGCTCATGGCAGGGGCATTGGAACTGGATGATCTTCAGGTCCTTTCCAACCCTAACTATTCTATGATTCTATTCTATTTTCCACTGAAGTGACCCATTTTTTCAACAGCACAAAACCACAAAAAGGCCTTCCAGCGTTTTAATCTCCCTGTGTCAAGTATTTGGCGGAGGCCCCACCTCAGTGCCTTGTCCTGCCGTGCCGCCCACCATGTCACCCCAGCAGGACCACCCCACCAACCGCAGCCACTTTACCTCATGTTCCACAGAGCTCCAGTTCGGGCAGGCAGGCAGTGCTGAGCGGCCACATGAACTGATGAAGTACTTTATAATGGATCAGAGATCCTGTGTAACGCCTGCAGGACATTGATCTCCAAGCGCCGGCTCCCCTTGCCAGCTCGTCCCCTCTGTCTCCCCCTTGCTCGGGCTGAGGTGGCACTGGGAGCAGTGTTTACTGCTATGGACAGGACAGCAAAGCCACTACCAGCCTTCCTGATGTCAGGAGGAAGGGCTGAGGGAACTGGAAGTGTTCAGTTTGGAGAAGGCTCAGGGGGGACCATATTGCTCCCTGTAAGTACCTGACAAGACGTTGTAGTTGATACGCAGATTGACTCCACAACTCGTTAGAGTTGTAAAGTAGGTGTGCTTTTATTCAGCGCTGAGGCGCATGGGGATTGCTCCTCCAAAAGGATGCACACCCTTCCGTTGCCACTCAGTTAGTTTATATTACATATAATGATTACCTAAACATGGGATTGCTTCACACCTAATACATACGCAAAACGTATTCCCGTCTAGGATTATAATTAGTTTCCTGACATTCCTCCCGTTGGTGCGCCTGCGCAGTGCCTCCTGGTGGTGGTCGTTACAGGGTTGTGACGATGAAGGCCTGTAGTTCCTCTTCATCACTGCGAGTAACCTCTTGCTTTCATGCAGACTCAATGGGGTTTCGGCTCCTGTCCAAACCTCAGGTTCGGTACAAGCCGGTTTTACGTATCTTAAAGCAGAAACTTGTCAAGTTTGCAAATGTTGTTACTCTGGCAATCTTTTGTTCCTTTGCTTTCTATGTATCCTATTTAACCAAGAATGTCTTCAATGTTAAGTTATGAATCTTATCTACTACAATTCTGCCTCACAGCTGTAACTCCTGAAATTCTGCTTCACCATTCTAGCAACTTTTGACTCCTACGGTTCTGCTTCACCAAGCACAGCGACTGCTTCAGCAAGCAGGCACAATGTTAACCCTTTATTTCCTGGTATCATAGTGAGGTGAGGTTGGTCTCTTCACCCAAGGAACAAGGGATGGGACAAGAGGAAACGGCCTCAAGCTGCCCCAGGGCAGGTTTAGATGGAGCTGAGGAACAATTCCTGCCCCAGAGGGTGCTCAGGCATTGGAACAGGCTGCCCAGGGCAGGGCTGCAGTCACCGTCCCTGCAAGCGTTCACACAGCGTGGAGACGAGGCCTCAGTGCCACGGGTCAGGGGTGGCCTTGGCAGTGCTGGGGTAAAGGTTGGTCCGGATGAGCTGAAAGGGCTTTCCCAGCCCAGGTGATTCGATGCTAACGCGCGAGCAATGCCGTACAAACAACGTTTATTTGCTGCGGTACTGCCGGGTCACCCCGAGCCCACCGCACACCTCAGCCCCGCCGCCGCCATGACAGCTACAGCGCGCCTGCGCTACCCTCCGCGCATGCGCCCTGGCGCGCACTACACTTCCCGTGGCTCCGGCGCGAACTACAGCTCCCGGAGGAGGGAGGGGAGCGGGGCTGCTGCGCCTGCGCGCGGGCGCCTCCTGTGGCTCGGGCCCATTTAAATGTATGTGAGGGAGGCTGCGAAATGGCTGCGCAGGTCGCTGCGGTGCGCGCCGTGCCCCGAGCCGCGGAGGAGCCGCCCCAGCTCCCCTCAGGGGACCGGCCCGGCCGGCCCCGCGGCGGCGGGCGCCGGAGGCGGGGTCCCTCTGGTGAAGCGGCGGGCGCTAAACGGGCCCGGCTGAACCAACCGCTGCTGGCGGGGCCCGGCCCGGCGGAGCCGCTGCCCCCGGCCGCCCTGCCCGGCCTGCCCGCCGCCGGGCTCTTCACCTTCTCTCCGCTCAGCCTGCCACCGCCCGCAGCCCTGGAGGAACGCCGCCGCCACCACCACCATCGGCATCGCCCTGCCGCCGGCCCCGAGCCCGGCCGTTTGGCCGCCGGGCAGCCGCAGAAGGCGAGGCGGGGCAGCCCCGCGGACGGGGCAGCCGGGCGGCCCAGCAAGCGAGGTGAGCAGGCGGAACGGGTGTGGGCTCGGGGCTGACCGGTGGCGCTCGCTCGGCCCGTGCGGATCGTACCCGGCGGAGCTTGCCTGCCGCAGCCCTCAGCGGCGGCCTCGCACTCCGCCGTCCGTGGCCGGCCGGGCTCGGTGGGGCCGGCTCCGACTCGGCCTCACCGGTCCCGGTGGGAGCCGCAGAGAAAGCGGCTCTCGGTGCCCTGTACGTGTTCAGGTGGCGGTGGGCAAAGGCGGGTGAGCGCTCCGTGGCTTTGGACCCCGCCGCTGGCCCTGGTCGCAGCGGGGCGCGTCGCTGTGTCCCACCGGGACCCGGAGCCCGGTAGCGTGTGGCAGGGGCTGAGCCACGGGGCGAGCGGGGCTCCAGCGCTGCCGGCCCGGGCTGCCCTCTGCGCAGCTCACAGTGGGAGCACTTCCAAAGTAAAGCTTTCTTCCTGCCGTGCCTGCGTTAACTTACACCAGAACTGAGAAGGTGTTGTGGTTTGTGTGGTGTTTTTCTTGAGTTAAATAGCCTGAGATTGCTTTAATGAAGGCCAAGTTTTGTCGTTTTTTTTTTTTTTTCCACGGTACAGAATGATTATTTTTGTTCTACTCACTTATTTGTGATAGCAAAAAGCTTCTTGGGGAGAGCAACATAAATAAAAAACCATTGCAAAAGTTGCTGTAATAGATATTAATGTGAATCACACTTCAGGAGTATATGTGAAGTTATTGTGCTGAAGATACACTGCTTACAAAGTTAAGTTTGTACTGTAAACTCTAGAGAGTGCTGTCGTAAGAAAGGGCAAAGCTGTTATGGGGAGAGACTTTTCACTTGGTTTAATGCTTCTTCACAACTGTGTTTGAATAGTGACTATAAAAGCTACTGGACTGTAACTCCAAACTTTAGCTTGATAACAGAGAAGTACTATATCTTAAGTAGATTGGGAGTGTCACTGTATGTCAGTTCTAAACAAGTAGTCAAATGAGGCCTTCTTTTAATAAAGGCTTAAACACTGTTAAAACTACTGACTGAATTCCAGGTTAGCAAAGGATAGGTGTCTGTGTGCTGGAAGGCGTGACACTCAGCGCTACTTGTCCTCTACTGAAGGTGTGCAGTGAGTTTTGGGACGAGGCTGGGTTTGTTTTCCTAGCTATCAGGTGTTATTTGTAAGTATAATCCCATTAATTGTCTATTTCTTTGACTATACTACACTTGGCTTCAGCCATGAGTGACAACAAAAACCTTCAGTGGTTTTGCTGGTCAGTAGTGATACTGGTGTGTTCAGTTATGTGATGTTTTAGACTAGTGCAGTTATTTGCACTGCTGCTATGCCTGTAGTTTAGTGACCTTTCTGTAGCTTTCCTTGTGTTTGAGGTACTGGAGGCATTCTGTTTATTTAAAGGAATAATTAAAACTCTTTGCTTCAAGACTGTCAGGCATTACCGTAGTGTCACTGTCTAGCTTTACTTAATACAGATGTTGGTCTCACTGCTGTAGTGGGACTCTGCTGTGTTCAGTGGATACAGCACAGTTGGGATATCTTTTATCCTGAAAAGAGACCAGTCTTCACTGGAAGTTCCAAACTGCAGAGTGCTAGTTGTGTGCCTGCTATTAGGGGATATCTTCAAACAGGCAGGTGCTCTGAACTAAAACTAGTGCGTGTCTGAGGTTTTCTAAACTATGTCAAGAATTAGAAATAATCAAAATAAGACACATAACGACCAAAAATTAATTTAGAAGTACGTACAGGAAGTATTTCCAACAGCTTGGCAGTGCCATGAAATTCTTGTTTAGTTTCAGCTGGGAATCTGGCTCCAACAGAACAAAGATCTTCTGTGTAATTAGTATGTTTGTTACAGTTAGTAAAGCAGTATCTATACTTGAGAGCTTAGTGATTGAGTAAGCTTATGCAGCCTCAACTTCTGAGACTTGCAGAAAAGCTTATTCAAAGAACTGTTTCAGTTGACCTACCAAAACAAGTGCTACCACCTTTCTTTTCCTGGTTTCCCTAGCTGTAATATAAAAATAAGGGCATTTGGTGTTTGTAAAGGCTAACAGCAGTAGCGTGTGAACTTGTATTTCAGGTCCTAAGACAATCGTATGAAGTTAGTATTAAGCAATCGACTCTTTCTTTGCTTCATGAGTAATTCTGTTCACTACACCAGGCTGCTTCGAAGGTCAGCTGTCTGTAGTGAAGAGCTCCGAGACCAGCCTAGTAATGATATTGTTAAACACTGATTAGACTAACTAACTTGAAGCTGCATGTATATATCCTTACACCCTTTCTCATAGATCAGTGTAACATGTTTATTTCTTTCTTGAAGAACTGCAGGAGAGTAAAGAGGAAATACAAATTTGATAGCTTTGCAGACAGGCAGAAAGGAAATTCCGTTAGCACAGAGCCCTGTGCTGCAGGAAACTGAAACTTTAGCCATTGCATCTTCCAGTCTGAT